AATCAGTGCAGCATTTTAAACCAATGATTTCATTAAAAATAACAAAATCAGCGCTTCGTTATCTTCTTCATAATTTACATTTTTACATTCATTGAAAAAGACAAAGCTAAATTTAACAGTAGAAAATACAGATATGTTATTAATAGGAGGCATTTAAAAGATAATAAACCCTTCATCAGACTCATACCACCACCTACAGACCCTTAAAGTAATTAAATAAAGGGTTTTCATTCAGCTAAACTGAAGATATGAAGCAGCTACAACAGCTTCAAACTAAAATATGACACCACCCCCGGTTTTTAGTTTAAATGAAGCTTTTTACAGTGGTCTAAATAAGGATGGATTCATACAAAGCTAAAAGCAGCAAACTAACCTTCAGTTAAACTATTATTCATTAAAACTACATTAAATATTTATGTTCATCTGTAAAAAAAAATCCCGATCATAGCTTAGAAATTGAATTAAATGACTTCTAACCATTACAAACTGTGACTGAACTTTGTAAACAGACAATGTAAAAGTCATCAAATCAGAGAAGAGCAAACCTTTGGTTGAAAAACTCCTTCGTTTTTGCTGAAAATTCTTTTATCCCAATTTGATGATCGTCAGACATTTTTAAGAGTTCAGAATGTTCCTTCATTGTTGTGAGTCGTTAAAACGATCCACACAAATTACTTCCTGTCCACTCAAATGTATCTTGAACTTTAAAATCACCTCGATGACAAAACGTTCACAAACGTCACAAACTGAAACAACGCTGGAGGAAACGCCCTCCACGCGGCACTTTGGAACCCGCGCCGCGCTCCTCAGACGCCGCAGTCCTCCGCCCGGTGTTGGACTTTGCGAGCGAGGGTGAGGAAGGTGGAGAGGGAGGCCACGGAGGCGTGGAAGATGAGCTGCCACGTGTTCCTCAAGCCGAGCAGGTACAGGTTGCATAGGAGGATGACGCTCAGCAGGAAGAAGGACTTTAACTTCTTCTGGGAGGAGTGGAACAGGTACAGGTGGCACTGAGGAGTCCGTAACAATATGACACGTTAGCATGATGAGATTTACACGTTAGCATGATGAGATTTACATGTTAGCATGATGAGATTTACATGTTAGCATGATGAGATTTACATGTTAGCATGATGAGATTTACACGTTAGCATGATGAGATTTACACGTTAGCATGATGAGATTTACATGCTAGCTTGATGAAATTTACACGTTAGCATGATGAGATTTAAACATTAGCATGATATTTACACGTTAGCATGATGAGATTTACATGTTAGCTTGGTGAGATTTACACGTTAGCATGATGAGATTTACACGTTAGCATGATGATATTTACACGTTACTGTGATGAGATTTACACGTTACTGTGATGAGATTTACACGTTAGCATGATGAGATTTACACGTTAGCATGATGATATTTACATGTTAGCATGATGAGATTTACACGTTAGCATGATGATATTTACACGTTAGCATGATGATATTTACACGTTAGCGTGAAGAGATTTACACGTTAGCGTGACGAGATTTACACGTTAGCATGATGAGGTTTACACATTAGCATGATGAGATTTACACGTTAGCATGATGATATTTACACATTAGCATCATGAGATTTACACGTTAGCATAAGATTTACACGTTAGCGTGATGAGATTTACACGTTAGCATGATGAGATTTACATGTTTACATGATGAGATTTACACGTTAGCATGATGAGATTTACATGTTAGCCTAATGAGATTTACACGTTAGCGTGATGAGATTTACATGTTAGCATGATGAGATTTACACGTTAGCATGATGAGATTTACATGCTAGCTTGATGAAATTTACACGTTTGCATGATGAGATTTACGTTAGCATGATAAGATTTACAAGTTAGCATGATAAGATTTACACATTAGTATGATGAGATTTACATGTTAGCATGATGAGATTTACACATTAGCATGATGAGATTTACACATTAGCATGATGAGATTTACATGTTAGCATGATGATATTTACATGTTGAATGATGAGATTTTTATGTTAGCATGATGAGATTTTTATGTTAGCATGATGAGATTTACACATTAGCATGATGATATTTACATGTTAGCATGATGAGATTTACACATTAGCATGATGATATTTACATGTTAGCATGATGAGATTTTTATGCTAAACAGTGGAGCTAAGATGTTTCCTACCTGAAGAGCACAGCAGACAAATGCCAGGAGAAACGCCACAACGTTCCAAACTCCCTCATAATCATCCTGTGGAAAGGATCGTCATTTAAAAAAACATTTTATAGCAACTACACCTTATTTAGCCTCACTTAATCATTAATAAATGATTAGTTAACCTTGAAAATATCATTAATTAAGGATGAATTATTAATGCTTTACCCATAAAGGTTAATTACTTCCAAAGCCAACATACTCATTGTTTATGCATGACTATGACTATTATACTGTGTACATGTATGTAATGCTCATATACTGTAAATGTACTTTGACACCATGTGTTAGACCTTTATTAATGGCATAGACTTGAATAAGATCACTAGACTGAGCCCTGCCCGTACCGTCCACTGGTAGTGTCTGTGACAGCATGGAGGAGCAGAAATGATGTCCAAAAAGGGCAACAGCTCACAGCCTCCATAGAAACTAATAGATAAACAGCAGCTGAACTGGATCTGTTTCACAGATTATCGGTCATGTTTTTACAATAAATTAATAATTATGTTAATTTCACTCAACAATCATGTAAAACCATCATGTTCAATTCATCATCAATAAAACTGACTATTAGTATTTGCCACTTTGCAGTTAGTGCCATGTGTTGATGTATTTTTGTCTATGACACACTCTCACTGTCATGTCATAAACCAGAGTAAGAGGAAAAGCCAGAAAATGTGGACCAAGTCTACAACTTTGGCCACATGCAAGTTCTACTGTTGTCTATTGTCATATTTATCATTATCGGATAAATGCTACAATTAAGATAAATGACAATACCACCCAAACTTACAAAGCATGTCAACTGAGACAATTTTAAGAAACTACAGCCATAGAAGCATTTTTTTTTTGCTTCTATTGTTTGTTCTTTGTGTACATATGCACAGGAGTGCACCTTTAGAAGCTAAAACTCCTTTATGTGAACCTTACACGTGTCGTACCTGCAACGTGTTCTCTATGAGGTGCACGCCGCGGATCACGTTCAGGGACGCACACACGATATTGAGGACGAGTGACAGGATGCCCTGTGGCGTCACGGGTTCAAGCCTCAGGTTCTGACCTGCAGTACGAGTGGAAAACACCAATATTTTTGAATGAATCTGGAGAGGAAATAAACGATCTATAAACATGGTAAATGGTTTGTGAGCGCTCCTACCCGGTGCAGGACTTTGCTCTACGTGTCCGTTTGCGACGCCGTTCGTTAGCTCCACTTCGTCCAAGTTAATCAGTTGTGGTGGACGGATTCTCAGATCCTCCTGGACTTCCACCAGAGTCACCTCCAGAGTCGGACCACCGCTCTGGTTGTACTGCTGCTTCAGCTTCTGAATAGTGCTGTCTAATATGTGGACACAGGTTGAATTTAAATAAAATAAGTTTGTCATAAGAAGTGTGAGGATGATAAATGTGAGGAAATATGTGTTTGCCAGATTATTTTTTATTGTAACAGTGCTTCTTGACAATAAAGCTTATACAATTGGAAAGCCTGTTAACTTCTCTTTTAGATGGTGCCACATTTGTAAGGAACATGCATTTGTGGGATGAGCAGTAGAGCTGAGTGTGTGGGTTGTGCACATGAAAAATTTACCMAATCTTCTCTGCCAAAAAGCTTATTTTGCTGTTGATACTTGTTTTAAGCTTCTGGGGTCTCATTTATAAAGGATTGTGTGGAAACCATACTAAAAGTGAACGTAC